AATAAAGATGAGGGTAAAATAAAATGCACATGGAAGGCATTTGTTTACGAATAGTAGAGTAGAGAAAATACGGTGAAAATGTGCAAAATGCAAGAAAAATAATCAGTATCAGCTGATGATATGACAACGAAGTTGGGTTATGTTAACGGCGGCAAAACTTTTTAAATTTATAAAGCATCATTGATCCAGATAAAAGGTCAAATAAATATACTTTAAAAAATCCACAGGCCTCCAAATATATGCTTTAAAAAACTCAAAATTATTGATCAGTCAGTTGGTCCTCCAGATATCATTTTGAAATCCCAAATTATAGGTCAGATAGTCCTCTTTAAATACTCTAAAAAAATTCTAGTGCACAGATGGTGCTTTAAAATTTCCGCGCTTACTGTTTGGAGGTTTTAAAATCAATATATGAAAATCCCACACTTTTTTAGTCCTCTAAAAATGTGGTCACCTATAAATTGTCTTAAAAAATCGAAATTATTTGTCTGATAGTCCTTTATAAATAATCCTTATTGGTCTGATAGTCCTCTAAAATATTCTTTACAAAATCCCAGAATAGTGGTCACATTTTGCTTTAAAAAATCCCCACTTATTGTTGGAAATGTCCTCTAAAATAAACCTTAAAAAATTCCCACTTATTGTTAGGAAGGTCCTCCAAAAGCAATCTTTAAAAAAATGACGTTTTTGTTGGGAAGATCCCCTTAAATTAATCGCCATTTATTGTCCTCTAAAAATTTACTTTAAATAACCCGCACTTATGGTTGGGAAGGTCCTCTAAAATTAATCTTTAAAAACCCACGCTTATTGTTGGGAAGGTCCTCTAAAATTATTATTTAAAGAGACTCCCCTAAGGCTCTGATATTTCTTTAAAAAATTGCTTTAAAAAATCCACGCCAAAGGTTCTGATATTTCTCTAAAAATTTGCTTTATATGATATTTCTCTAAAATGAATCTTTAAAAAATCCGCACTTTTGTTTGATAGGACCTCTATAAATTTTCTTTAATAAATCCCCTTTTATTTTCGAGAACTTCCTCCAAAAATTTTCTTAAAAATCCAGGCTAATTGCTTGAATCGGTCTCCAAAGTTCCAGGGGCTTTTTCTGCCATCATCTGTTGGTTATTGAGGTTATGCTTTACCCGTCTTCGTAAACAAAGGTTACCTCTCACCATTTTCTTGTATTCCTATATTTTATCAGTCATTCTCTCCTACCTCCCTCCATTCGTTGCATTCGGAACGTTTTTCACTTCGCTCGGTCCATTCTAATTGAGTATCATTTTTTGTAATTTTTTGGGAAAAGTGTTGTTGGATTTTCAGATATCCTCATAGATTGTCCACCACCACCAAATTTCTTGTTTTGCTGGAGAAAAATGAGTAGCAAACATGTTTACTCCACCACGAATTTAACCGATGTCCAACTGAAGGAGCAGGGCAATAATCTATTTTCGGCCAGGAAATATGAAGATGCCATTAATTGCTATTCCAAGTGCATTGTAAGTTACGGACAGCCGGTTCCAATTCCTAGAGAACATGATATTTTTAGAATTGTCACCTAATTCGTTTTTTTTTAATTAATTTTATTCCTTCTTTCCCTTTGTCTACCAGGTCAAAAATCCCAATAATGCCACCTATTACACCAATCGGGCTTTGTGTTATCTGAAACTGAAACGTTGGGAGCTGTCCTGCCATGATTGTATGAGCGCCCTGGACATAAATCCAAATATGCTAAAGGCCCATTTCTTTTTGGGTCAGTGTTTAATGGAAGCGGAACTCTACGATGATGCCATAAAACATTTACAAAGGGGTATGTTTGTTTGGCTGTGTGTGTGGGTGTCGATGTTTTGGAATTCTTAATAATCTTTGTGTTGTTTTTTTTTAATATTTACGTTCGCAAGCCTTCGATTTGTCCAAAGAAAAGAAGCAAAACTATGGCGATGATATAACGTCCCAGTTACGTTTGGCCCGCAAGAAACGTTGGAACGTGCTGGAGGAGAAGAGGATTTGTCAGGAAATTGAATTGCAAAGCTATATTAATAGGTATGGAAGAGGACCTTTCGAAGAAGAGGCATGGAATTTATAAAGAATATTTAGAGAGTACCTTTCGAAGAAGAGGCGTAGATTTTTTAAAGAATATTTATAGAGGACCTTTCGAAGAAGAGGCGTAGATTTTTTAAAGAATATTTTTAGAGGACCTTTCGAAGAATAGGCGTAGATTTTTTAAAGAATATTTTTAGAGGACCTTTCGAAGAAGTGGCGTAGATTTTTTAAAGAATATTTATAGAGGACCTTTCGAAGAAGAGGCGTAGATTTTTTAAAGAATATTTATAGAGGACCTTTCGAAGAAGAGGCGTAGATTTTTTAAAGAATATTTATGGAGGACCTTTCGAAGAAGAGGCGTAGATTTTTTTAAGAATATTTATAGAGGACCTTTCGAAGAAGAGGTGTAGATTTTTTAAAGAATATTTATAGAGGACCTTTCGAAGAAGAGGCGTAGATTTTTTAAAGAATACTTATAGAGGACCTTTCGAAGAAGAGGTGTAGATTTTTTAAAGAATATTTTTTTAAGGACTATATAGAGGACCTTTCGAAGAAGAGGCGTAGATTTTTTTAAGAATATTTATGGAGGACCTTTCGAAGAAGAGGCGTAGATTTTTTTAAGAATATTTATAGAGGACCTTTCGAAGAAGAGGTGTAGATTTTTTAAAGAATATTTATAGAGGACCTTTCGAAGAATAGGCGTAGATTTTTTAAAGAATATTTTTAGAGGACCTTTCGAAGAAGAGGCGTAGATTTTTTAAAGAATACTTATAGAGGACCTTTCGAAGAAGAGGTGTAGATTTTTTAAAGAATATTTATAGAGGACCTTTCGAAGAAGAGGTGTAGATTTTTTAAAGAATATTTATAGAGGACCTTTCGAAGAAGAGGTGTAGATTTTTTAAAGAATATTTATAGAGGACCTTTCGAAGAAGAGGTGTAGATTTTTTAAAGAATATTTTAGAGGACCTTTCGAAGGAGATGCGTGGACTTTTTAAAGAATATTTTTAGAGGACCTTTCGAAGAAGATGCGTGGATTTTTAAAGAATATTTTTAGAGCCATCTAAATTTTATAATGGCAATCTTTAGAGGACCTTTCGAAGAAGATGCGTGGATTTTTAAAGAATATTTTTAGAGCCATCTAAATTTTATAATGACAATCTTTAGAGGACCATCCGACCTAGAAGTCTGAATTTTTGATCAATATTTATAGAGGAACATCTGAAGAAGAAATCTGAATTTTTTAAGGACTATTTATAGAGGATTATCTGACCAAGAATTCTGAATTTTTAATTAATATTTGTAGAGGGCCATTTGACCAAGAAGTCTGAATTGTTTTTTAAATACTATTTATAGAAGACCATCTGATCAAGAAGACGGGATTTTTTAATGACTATTTTTAGAGGACCATATGACGAAGAAGTCTGAATTTTTTTAATGACTATTCTGTCCAAGAAGTCGGAAATTTTTAAGGACTATTTGTAGAGGACCATCTTAAAAAAAGTCTAAATTTTTTTAAAGACTACTTATAGAAGATCATCCTGACTTTTTAATCCATTATCCTTGCATTTATTTTTTTCTCCATTTATTCCCCAAAGGTTAATCAAAGAGGACATGGAAAATCGCTTGGCCAAACTGAAACTAGATGACAATACCAGTGAAGATCAATTAAAGGAGAAACAACAGGAAATTGAACAAGAATGTGTAAGCAAGAATAAAATGCCATTCAGATGCAATATTTTCTCAATTTAATTTTCAATTTTTTTTCATTTCATTTAGGATGACCATATCAAGGAGTTAAATAATATATTTGCCAAAGTCGATGAACGTCGAAGGGTAGAGCATTTTATTTAAAAATTAAATTCAATCAAAAAAATAATTAATTTTTGCATTTCCTTACAGAAACGTGAGGTGCCCGATTATTTGTGTGGTAAAATAAGTTTTGAAATTTTAACCGATCCCGTTATAACACCATCTGGCATTACCTATGAACGTAAAGATATTGAGGAGCATTTGCAACGTGTGGGACACTTTGATCCGGTCACACGTGTCAAATTAACACCCGACCAATTAATACCGAATTATACCATGAAAGAAGTTGTCGATGCTTTTATTGCGGAAAATGAATGGGCATTGGAATATTAGATGTTTGGAATTTTTTTTAGAAATTGAAAATTTGGAAGCAAAAAAGAAAAATCACCTAGTATTATAGTTATATAATTTTTAATGCATATTTTTTCGCCTTCTTATTGTAATTTCTATATATTCTTTGATTTTTTTAAATGATGGTTTAGATATATTTAAGTTAATTGTACAGAGTTCTTGGTTCACCATCCGGTCGTAATTTGTGCATATAAATATAGTATATATGTATGTAGGTGTGTTCTTTTTTTAAAATTGATTTCCTTATCATATCGAATCCACTGATTATTATTCCTCATCTAACTGTTGACTGGTTTTAAATACATATACATATAAATAGATATCCTTTAGATAAATAAGTAATGAAGAAAATAAAGATAAACATTTATTTCGAAAAAATGTAATGGGGTATTAATATTCAAATAGAAGAATTATTTTAGAAGTTCACCACAACAATAAATTGGGATTTCTTAAAGAATATTTGTAAAGGACCTTCCCAAGAAGAAGCGAGGGTTTTTTTTAAAGATTAATTTTAGAGGACCTTCCCCATAATAAGCGGTGTTTGAAAGAATATTTTTAGATGACCGTCCAAAAAAAGTGAATTTTTTAAAGAACATTTTAGAGGACCTTCCAAACAATAAACGTGGATGTTTTGAATAATATTTAGGAGGGCCATTCCCCACAATAAGCGTGAATTTTTTAAAACAATTTTCTAGAGAAATGTCAGAGCCCTAGGCGTGGATTTTTGAAGCAATTTTCTAGAGAAATATCAGAGCCTTAGGCGTGGGTTTTTAAAGCAAATGTTTGGAGAAATATCAGAGCCTTAGGTGTGGGTTTTTAAAGCAAATGTTTGGAGAAATATCAGAGCCTTAGGTGTGGATTTTTTAAAGAAAATTTTTAGGGGACTAACATACCAATAAGAAGAAGAAGCGAGGGTTTTTTTTAAAGATTAATTTTAGAGGACCTTCCCCATAATAAGCGGTGTTTGAAAGAATATTTTTAGATGACCGTCCAAAAAAAGTGAATTTTTTAAAGAACATTTTAGAGGACCTTCCAAACAATAAACGTGGATGTTTTGAATAATATTTAGGAGGGCCATTCCCCACAATAAGCGTGAATTTTTTAAAACAATTTTCTAGAGAAATGTCAGAGCCCTAGGCGTGGATTTTTGAAGCAATTTTCTAGAGAAATATCAGAGCCTTAGGCGTGGGTTTTTAAAGCAAATGTTTGGAGAAATATCAGAGCCTTAGGTGTGGGTTTTTAAAGCAAATGTTTGGAGAAATATCAGAGCCTTAGGTGTGGATTTTTTAAAGAAAATTTTTAGGGGACTAACATACCAATAAGCGTGATTTTTTTAAAGAATATTATTATGGGACTAGCAGACCAATAAGCGTGAATTTTTTAAAGAATATTTTTAGGGGACTAGCAGACCAATAAGCGTGGATTTGTTAAAGAATATTTTTTAGAGGACCTTCCCAAGATGAACCCTCGATTTTTTAAAGAATAGTTTTAGAGGACCTTCCCAAGAAGAACCCCCATTTTTTAAAGAATAGTTTTAGAGGACCTTCCCAACAATAGACGTGAATTTTTTAAAGAATATTTTTAGAGGACGTTCCCAACAATAGGCGTGGATTTTTTTAAAGAATATTTTTAGATGACCATCTGACTAATAAGCGAGGATTTTTAAAGATTAATTTTAGAGGACTATCAGACTAATAAGGGTGGCTTTTTTTAAAGAATATATTTAAAGGACTCTCAGACTAATCAGTTCGGTTTTTAAAACGAATATTTTTAGAGGACTTTCAGACCAATCAGCTCGGTTTTTAAAACGAATATTTTTAAGGGACTATCAGACCAATCAGCTCAGCTTTTAAAACGAATATTTTTAGGGGTCTATCAGACCAATCAGCTCGGTTTTTAAAACGAATATTTTTAAGGGTCTATCAGACCAATCAGGTCGGCTTTTAAAACGAATATCTTTAAGGGACTATCAGACCAATCAGTTCGAATTTTAAAACGAATATTTTTAAGGGTCTATCAGACCAATCAGATCGGATTTTAAAACGAATATTGTTAAGGGACTATCAGACCAATCAGATCGGCTTGTAAAACGAATATTGTTAAGGGACTATCAGAACAATCAGCTCGGCTTTTAAGACGAATATTGTTAAGGGACTATCACACCAATCAGCTCGGCTTTTAAGACGAATACATTTAAAGTACTATCAGACCAATTAACTCGGATTTTAAAACAATTTTTTTAAGGCACTATCAGACCAATCAGCTCGGCTTTTAAGACGAATAAATTTAAAGGACTATCAGATCAATATTTTTAAAGGACTATCAGATCAATCAGCTCGGCTTTTAAAACGAATATTTTTAGAGGACTATCAGACCAATAAGCTCGGCTTTTAGAACGAATATTTTTAGAGGACTAGCTGACCAATCAGCTCTGCTTTTATAAAGAATGTTTATAGAAGACTATCTGAGCAATAAGTTCGGGTTTTAAAAACAAATATTTGTAGAGGACCATCTAATCAATAATTCGCTGTTTTCATATAACATGTATAGAGGCCCACTTGACTCCTAAAATCAACGATTTTCATGACTTCCTTCATACAATTTCTTTTTCAATATTTCAATATGTGTTCTTAATAAATAAATCTTATGCCTTTATTAATTACAATTCTGTTTTTCTTCTTCTTCTTTTCCCTTCACATTTCAACACAACCATTATAAAATTCAATTTCTTCAATTAACTGAGGATATTCCGTTAACATAGTCTGCCAATCATCGTTCTTCTCTATCTCGGCCATATTTTGTTTAATAAAATGTATTGAACGTAATTTTACAACTTCCGAATTATGACGATCCGCCAATATTAGGATTTCCAAGGCATTATTACATGTCAGTTGGCGATTCAGGGCAATTTCACATTTTGCCTTTAGCTTCTTGAGCGCATATTTATCAGCTGCCACAAATAGTTCGATGGGCATTTCATCAATATTCGGCGCCTGATTGGTGTAGATAAAGGTAAGCATTTCCCGAACCACCGGATATTCCATATCATTGATGTCAACACAATTTGAGGTATTCTCCGTCATGGCTTCGTTATCGAACATCGCGGCAAATACTTCGCTACGCATACTCAAAATATTTTTGTGGGCCTTTAGCTGTTGTTTCTCCACCATCAACGTGACATCACTGAATTTTTCACTTTGCAATAGTTTACCCATATCCTGAAATAAATCCGTGTCCTCATAACAATCTAAACACTCATCACTTGATGGAATATCAATGAGATCATCAATAACACCGAGTTCACAATGTGTGATCAAGGTGTCATTTGCGGGTATCTTTTCAATTTCGATTTCAATGGGCCGGGGAAATATAAAGACATCCTCGGGCACAGCCTTGTACAGATTGTCTCGGCTAATATCCTTTCGTTGTTCACCATTTTCCATATAGCCTTCGAATTTGAAGTGCATCAGCGGCTTATCGCTGCACACCAATTTCACTTTCAATACGACGATTTTTTTAACTTTCGTTAGGCCCATTTGCCATTTGATGTTGTGCGGATTGGCGTGATCATTGGTGAATATTGGGGAAATTAGATCACCATTAAACGTATTGAAATGTTCTACTTTCCAGTCATAGATGAATTTGGTTACTTTGACTCGGTCACAAAACCACGTAGCGTCAATGGAGTCCTTAATTGACAACGAACCATTGTGTAGGATGCAGTTATTAGAGCAGGAGGGTTCTGATGCCATGGGATTTTTATTTATATCTTATTTTTTTAATTTTGTTGTTATTGAACTGAAAGAAAGAAGAGAAATGTAAAATGTTTCGTAATTGCCATTAAAAAAATGATTTGGATTTTGTGAACATACCTGAGATTCACATCAGAATACGTAGATATGAAATTACAACAAATTATTTAATGTAAAATTACATTACAAATAGTGTTAGAGCTTCGAGATGCTGATAATCTGAAAAAGTGTTTAAAAATACATTAACTATTATGATTAGTATAAATCCTTAATTATGGGTCAAATGGTCCTCTAAATATATTGTTAAAAAAATCTCCACTATAGGCTTCGAGGCTTCTTCTTGGGAAGATCCTCTAAAAATATTCATTAAAAAATCCACGCCTATTTTTTGGAAGATCCTCTAAAAATATTCATTAAAAAATCCACGCCTATTTTTGGGAAGATCCTCTAAAAATATTCATTAAAAAATCCACGCCTATTTTTGGGAAGATCCTCTAAAAATATTCATTAAAAAATCCACGCCTATTTTTGGGAAGATCCTCTAAAAATATTCATTAAAAAATCCACGCCTATTTTTGGGAAGATCCTCTAAAAATATTCATTAAAAAATCCACGCCTAATTTTAGGAAGATCCTCTAAAAATATTCTTTAAAAAATCGAGGCTTCTTCTTGGGATGGTCCTCTAAAAATATTCTTTAAAAAATCGAGGCTTCTTCTTGGGAAGGTCCTCTAAAAATATTCTTTAAAAAATCGAGGCTTCTTCTTGGGAAGGTCCTCTAAAAATATTCTTTAAAAAATAGAGGTTTCTACTTGGGAAGGTCCTCTAAAAATATTTTTTAAAAAATCGAGACTTCTACTTGGGAAGGTCCTCTAAAAATATTCTTTAAAAAATCGAGGCTTCTTGGGAAGGTCCTCTAAAAATATTCTTTAAAAAATAGACGCCTCTATTAGTCCTCTAAAAATATTCTTTAAAAAATAGACGCCTCTACTTGGGAAGGTCCTCTAAAAATATTCTTTAAAAATCCACCCGTAAGGCTCTATTTATCTAAAAATTTTCTTTAAAAATCCACGCGAAAGGCTCTATTTCTCTAAAAATTTTCTTTAAATTTTTCAAGGCGTAAGGCTCTATTTCTCTAAAAATTTTCTTTAAATTTTTCAAGGCGTAAGGCTCTATTTCTCTAAAAATTTCCTTTAAAAAAATCCACGCCTAGGGCTCTGCTAGTCCTCTAAAAATTTTCTTTAAAAAATCCACGCCTAGGGCTCTGTTAGTCCTCAAGAAATTAGCTTCAAAAATTCCACGCCTAAGCCTCCGATATTTCTCTACAAATTAGCTTCAAAAAATCCACGCCTAAGCCTCCGATATTTCTCTACAAATTAGCTTCAAAAAATCCACGCCTACGCCTCCGATATTTCTCTAAAAATTTTCTTTAAAAAATCCACGCCTAGGGCTCCGATATTTCTCTAAAAATTTTCTTTAAAAAATCCCGAATGTTCCTCTAAAATATTCTTTAAAAAAATCCCAGCAAAATAGTCAGCTGATCCTCTAAAAATTCCCTTATAAAAATCCCAGAATTGTTTATCCTCTTTTTTTTTGTAATTTAATTTTATTCTAAGAACAGGTTACAGCTGCTGGAAATTCCGCGATCATTAATCCATAATAGCTCTATTCCTACCTGAATTTGCATATCCTTCCTACCTGCCTGCAGATTCGATTTTCATAATTTCAAATAACTAACCTCAAATACCAAACATGAACAGTTCAAATTTAAACTTCAACGCGATGACCTCGAAAACATCCTCCTCCTCGCCGTCGTCACCTCCTGCGAAAATATGTTATCTCCATCAGACACTAAACGATAAAAAGAAATTCTACAATGATACAGCCTGGTATTGTGATCGTGTCACAGTGGCCCGCATTCAATACCTTTGGATAATTGAAAATTTCTGTGCGATTAAGAATAAAGTGGACTCGCCGGTATTTACCGATGAAACGGAGGGCAAAATCAAATGGCAAATTGTGCTGACCAAAACAGATGGCCAAATTGTGCTGCTGGTGAAAATGGTCAGCAGCAATCAGTCGTGTGTTAAATTCAAACTCAAATTAAAAATTGTGAAACTGAATGGAGATCTCGATGATTCCCTGGGGAAATGGAATGGTAATGGTTCGCTGCAAGGCTCTCTAATTTATCCACGTAAAATAACTCTTTCCGATGTGCGCAATCCTGCACGACAGCTGCTTATAAATGGTGCCCTACAAATCCGATGTGAATTAACGATGATGGTGGATGTGATCCATAGTTCACCCTGGGAGGGGTTACATTCTGTTGGCTCGGCCCTACACCAGCGCATGGCAACCCTTTTGAATACGGGGAAATTTAGTGATGTTACGTTGGTCGTTAAGGGCGAAGAACTCTATGCCCACAAAGCCATTTTAAGTCTACGCAGCAGTGTCTTTGCCGCCATGTTCGATCATGAATCAATGACGGAAAATAAAACCAATCAAATACTCATCAATGATTTTGAACCGGATGTCATTAAGGAAATGTTAACCTATATGTATTCGGACGGGGCACCGAATATTCACAGCATGGCTGGAGAACTATTGGCCGCGGCGGATAAATACGATGTCGAACAGCTGAAAGGATTATGTGAAAGTGTACTGAATAAGGAAATTTCAAATGAAACCGTATTACCTACCTTGGTGTTGGCCGATCAACATTCGGCGGACGTTTTAAAGAAACGTTGCTTCCATTACATCAAATTGAATTTATCGAGTATTGTCTTTACCAACGAATGGAAGACAATGTTGAATAATTATCAGGAATTGATACATGAAATTGAGGCCTATAATGGCTGTCTATTTTTGTAGAAAAAAAAACTTTTCTTTAAATATAAGTTTATGTGTAACATAAAATTAAGATGTAATAAAATGTGATAAAATCGGAGATTGATGGACTTTTAATTTTTTAAATGGGATTTCTGAATAGTTTTTCTATATATGGGGCGTGGATTTTTTAAATAATTTTTTCCGAGGTCTATATAGGACGTGGATTTTTTAAATAATTTTTTCCGAGGTCTATATAGGGCGTGGATTTTTTAAATAATTTTTTTCCGAGGTCTATATAGGGCGTGGATTTTTTAAATAATTTTTTCCGAGGTCTATATAGGGCTTGGATTTTTTTAAATAATTTTTTCCGAGGTCTATATAGGCGTGGATTTTTTTAATAATTTTTTTCCGAGGTCTATACACGGCGTGGATTTTTTAAATAATTTTTTCAGAGGTAAAGAAATCTATCTGCTTCATTATCTGCAAACACATGATGACTGATAAAGGACCTCATTAAATAATTTATATACCATGATGTTGGATATTCTGAAAAGAAAAAGAAAATAATAAACCCTTTATTGTAATTTTATTTTAGAATATAAAATATTCGTATGGAGATCTTAATAGGCTTACCTGTAATTCGCATAATTTGTTCCGCATGAATGCAAATGCCAAACCAAATAAACTATTTCCCTTCCGAATTAGTTTCAATTTCTCACCAGTATATTTTATATAAGGCAAACGGTTTTCAAAACAGATCAGGTCCAAATCAATTGAATCCGGAAATAAAAAACAACAGCATCCCCAGGATCTCTTTCAGATGAAAAAATATCAAAACTATTATTATTTGTTGTTTGTTTTTATTTCATTTTTATTATCGTTTTCTTGTATTCGCTCCTTCTTCGTTTTAATGTTTTTTTTTTAATATTGGCAACATTTGGGTTCCAATTTTGAAACGATAACGGGGATATCGATAATACACCAAGTGGCTAAAGTCGACGTACATAACCCTATGATATTAAATTTCAAAAAATGAAATTTTAATACCGGGATTTAAAACAAAAAAAATTTGGAGGACCTCCTGGGCAAGACGACCTCTCCAGCTATAAATGTGGATTTTTTAAAGAGTATTTTTACAAGACCTTCCCCAGAGGAAGCATCGAGTTTTTGAAGAATATTTTTAGATGGCCTTCGCAAGAAGCGTGGATTTTAAATGAATATTTTTAGAGGACCTTCCTAAGAAGAAGCGTGGATTTTAAATGAATATTTTTAAAGAACCTTCCTAAGAAGAAACGTGGATTTTTTAAACGAATATTTTTAGAGGACCTTCCCAGGATGAAGTGTGGGGATATATTTAGAGGACCACACCCACACTTAGCGGGGATTTTTTAAAGAATATTTTTAGAGGACCTTTCCAACAATGAGCGTGGATTCTTTTAAAATTTAATATGATATTCCTCTAAAATGAATGTTTAAAAAATCCACGCCTATGGCTCTGATATTCCTCTAAAATGAATGTTTAAAAAAATCCACGCCTATGGCTCTGATATTCCTCTAAAATGAATGTTTAAAAAAATCCACGCCTATGGCTCTGATATTCCTCTAAAATGAATGTTTAAAAAAATCCACGCCTATGGCTCTGATATTCCTCTAAAATGAATGTTTAAAAAATCCACGCCTATGGCTCTGATATTCCTCTAAAATGAATGTTTAAAAAAATCCACGCCTATGGCTCTGATATTCCTCTAAAATGAATGTTTAAAAAAATCCACGCCTATGGCTCTGATATTCCTCTAAAATGAATGTTTAAAAAATCCACGCCTATGGCTCTGATATTCCTCTAAAATGAATGTTTAAAAAATCCACGCCTATGGCTCTGATATTCCTCTAAAATGAATGTTTAAAAAATCCACGCCTATGGCTCTGATATTCCTCTAAAATGAATGTTTAAAAAATCCACGCCTATGGCTCTGATATTCCTCTAAAATGAATGTTTAAAAAATCCACGCCTATGGCTCTGATATTCCTCTAAAATGAATGTTTAAAAAATCCACGCCTATGGCTCTGATATTCCTCTAAAATGAATGTTTAAAAAATCCACGCCTATGGCTCTGATATTCCTCTAAAATGAATGTTTAAAAAATCCACGCCTATGGCTCTGATATTCCTCTAAAAATTGGCATTAAAAAATCCACGCCTATGGCTCTGCTAGTCCTTAATAAAATTGCTTTAAAAAATCCACGCCTGATAGTTCTCAAAAAAATTGCTTTAAAAAATCCACGCCTATGGCTCTGATATTCCTCTAAAAATTTGCTTTAAAAAATCCACACCTAAGACTCTGTTGTTCCTCAAAATATTCTTTACAAAAATCCCATGTTTCCCCCTTTAAAATACACCATTTTATAATATTTTAGGGATATTTAAGTCGTCCTTTTGCGATTCCACGCAAAACGATTTGTGTTGCTCATAAATCGATTATTATTAATCGATTACCATTTGTGCTTATTTGTGGGGTATGAGTACTTTGTGTCTGGCTTGGCAACCCTATTCAGTTAAGACAACTCCAACAAGCAGCTGTCATGCTCGGGCAATCGACTGAAGAGCACGTAAAACCAACAACGCGCTAAATAGGCTTTTATAGAATTTCATATATAATTAAAATAAAAAAAAATAATAATTAATAAAAAAAATATTCAACATAATTCAACGGGCTTTTATAAAAAAATAAAATATTTCAATAATTAATTGTAAATAAAAAAGAAAACAACAAAACAAAAAATAATAATTCATAACCAAAACCAAACGTGAACAAAGTGTGGTGTGCATGATTGTGTGTTGACGGTGTGCGAGAGTGAGAGAGAGCTAGCAAAAGTGCTGAGAAGTAACAAAATATAATAAGAAAAAGAATAAAGAATAGAAACAAACCACAACATATTTTTTAGCACGTGTTTTTTTGTTTGTGTAAAAAATTCAAGAAGAAGAAGCAGAAAATATTAAGATATTCCCATTCCTCGCTCCACCACAATAGAAAAAAAATCATCGTAATCAAAACAAAACAGGAAAACAAGTGTAAATTTCTATTTCACAATAAAAATTAAGCTAGAATCTTTAAATGTGTTTTTTTTTAATTTATTTCTAAAAAATTACAAATAAATAAAACTCGTTTACATTGTAAATAAATGAAAATAAAACAAATCATCCAGCAAGTGTTAAAATTTTGTAAATGTGTAGAAATTAAAAATAAAAAAATAGTGCAATTTTTTGTTGTAACAAAACTACAACAACAACTACAGGACGATAAGGAGAAGTAATTCATTGACTACAATTACAACCACTGCTGCTGCTGCTTCCTTTTGTGAACTTGACATTGATTTGCCGGTGTAAAATTGACACAGCGTTTTTGAAGTCCATTACAACTATTTGGCGGATTTACCGAGTGAATATTTTTCTTAAATAGGATTCAAAATGGTTCAGGTAAGTGGAAGTAAAATTATTTATTTTTGTAGTTTCTGATTTTTTTTTAATTTCTTTTAAGGGATATTAGAGAAGTTTCGGGAATTTAAAAAAAGTCTTTAGAGGGATATCGGCGAGGACTTTAAAAAAAGGTGTGGAATTTTTAAACAATTTTGGTGGAAAATCGGAGCTATAGGGGGGAATTATTTTAGAAAATTATTTTAAAATAAGATCGGATTTCCCTAAAGTAGTCATAATCCCTGGAGTAGTCATAATCCAATTAATCAATTTTTTTTTAATCATAACCTATAATAATCAAAAAATTTTTTTTTTGTAATTTAATCGGTATAATATTCTTTAGTAGTTCAATATCCCTCCCTTTTACATTTATGCCGCTTAATACGATAAAATTTATATTTAATTGTGAAATGTAGCTTACAGCCTTAAGGTCGAAAGACTGGGCACTGTGAAATATATAAATAAAAAAAAAAATAAAGACGACAACATTTTTCGAGGACCATTTGATCAATAATTCCGGATTTTTTAAAGAATATTTATAGTGGACCATCTGATCAGTATGCTTGGACTTCTCTAAAGACAACATTTTTCGAGGACAATTTGACCAATAATTCCGTATTTTTTTAAGAATATTTATAGTGGACCATCTTACCAATAAGCCTGCATTTATGAAATACATATTTTTGAGGAACATCCTCATACAATATATTTTCCTACTAAATCCGTATCTATCGAGAGCTTGGTCCTTTCGAAACGGTTTAGAAAAAATCTGAACTTATTGTTGATACCTACTTAAAAAATATTTAAAAATTCTAGAGCCATCCGTTGACCTTAGAAAAATATTTTTTCCTTGGAAAAACTAATAGAAATTCCCGAGCTTTTTGTGGTCATTGGAAAAATTTTTAAAAACAGTCAGACCTTCTTCTTTTGACCATTGAAATCAAAAATAAGAAATATACCAAATATTTATTGGTCCTCAAAACAAATATTTTAAACTAAGCACAACCTGTTTTGAACCATAAAAATATAGTTTGAAAAAATCTCGGACCTGTTTTTGTCATTGAAAATATGTAGGGCCTTGCTAAAAAATATTTAGGATTTGTTTTTCTTTGTTTTAATACCCTCCACCATAGTATGGTGGGTATATTAGTTTTGTTTTTCCGTTTGTAACTCATCGAAATAATCATTTCCGACCCTATAAAGTATATAAATTCTTGATCGGCGTAAAATTCTATGACGATTTAAGCATGTCCGTATGTCCGTCTGTCTGTTGTAATCACTCTAGCGTCTAAACGAATTGAGATAGATCGCCAACATTTTGCAATTCTGCAGCCAGGCCTACATCGGTCCACATTTAGGCATAGCTCCCATATAAGGGTACCCCCCAATTTTCGATATTTTTTTAGGTTCTGGAGCGCGTTTTTCTGAAATTGTGTACATTGAGCTCTTATTGGGTAGCAAACCTTTTGAGGATTTTGATCGTATTTTTCCACCGAATTCGCTGAAATTTGGTAACTTGAGTTCTTATTGGGTAGCAACTCTCCCACTACTAAAATTTATGAATATAGGTA